ATCACGAAGACAGCTACAAACCAAAATGAACAAACAGAAACAACGACATATACATATTACATATATATATATAATATGTATAGATATACATATATAATGTGTATAAGATACATACATAATATGTATAAGACAACGCATATATCAGAATCGCCTTGCGGAGAGGAGCCTTCATACCCTCTTTGGCAACATCAACTCCCAAAGTAAGTCTAGAGGCGCATTTCAAAATACTCAAACATGGGATGCTTCTGAATCACTCAACAAGGGGAACTCGTTGATCCCCTGCTGGAAGTTAAACTGCCACTGGGATATGTGAGATATATGTTTCTCGTGATCGAAAACCACACTATGCTGATGGTTTGCGGCCCGTTGAGTGGGTATATGGCTGGTGGTCAAACATAGGCAAATGGAACCCTGGTAGATGGAAACATGGACTGAAACCTGCGGTCCAATTCCTGGTTTCAGTTTGAACCGTATTCATGGGCCTGTCCTGTGTTGGAAGCAACCCGTCTTTGGTTCTAAGGAAAAACCACCCAATTTGGTTTCAAGGGGGTTCCCCTAAAACCGGACGCACTCATATGATCCTCCTCGTTTCTTCGTCCGGGCAACTCGGTTTTTTCACACGCTGTCCGTCAGCTTCAGTCTAGGGCCCTGGCACTTCTCTGGGCGGCATGGCGAGTCGATCGAGTTCGACCGATCGAGGTGGGGACAAATTTCCCCGTCAGGGTCAAGGCTCACTTCAGTGGATGGAGCTAACACTTGGCATGATTAGAGTTAGGCCCAGTTATAGAACATATATATATACATATTATATCGTCTGCTTCACTTTGAGCCACTGGTAAAATGAAAAAAAACAACATGTATCCTAAGTCTACCCCAGTTGGGCATGGAAGTCAAAATTTCTCAGCACGTCCCTCCATTTACTAGGGTTCCAAAATGGATACCCATTGACCCACAGCCACTTCAGCTTAAAGTCCCTTGGCCGTGAAAGTGTGGAGAACTGGTTGCTCCAACAGATATGTCAGTTGCAAGTGCAGTATGACAGGAATCAAGCGGATCTGTATCTAGCATCAAGCAACATAGTGCACTAGACCTTTTGAAAGAGAACTGCTTTCTCTTGGGGTACATCCAACTTCTGCCCCCTTCTGAAAGTGCGTATGAAAGTCTGAAAGTTATTGGTAAAGCATCTGGGGTGATGAGCATTGCCCACAAAGGGGAAAGTTGATGTCCCCTTACCCGTGAATGGTCGGGTGTTGCCAGTTTAATCAGGAATGAAGCAAGGGGTATGTTCGCAGCCGCAAATCGGATGAGCCACGGTCAACATGTTCCCGCAACAAGCATGGGACAAGAAAACACAACTGAGTGCCACTGGTTCGTGTGGACCGAGGAAAGTTTGCTGGGTCCCTGCAATATCCCCGCATAGACCTTCTCTGGTTCCAGGCGCCTGCGCTTGATTGGCAGGCCGCCCAAGCTACACAGTTTGAGCCAAATGGACCCCACGTCCAGTCAGGTTCCATGTGGAAACTCTGCACTCGGCAAGCTTGCAACACAAACAACTTTGAGAATTTGCTAGCTGGGTGGCGGTATAAAAAGGTTGACCCCAAGGTTCTATAGCAATCAACCTAGCATTGCTCTGACCCTTGCAAATGGCAAACCTGAACTGCAGGGAACCGAATTGCCGGTTTGGCTGGGTCGGTTCCCAGAGCAAAATGAGTTGCAATCTTGCCTTTCCTGAAAATCACAATCTAGCAGCGACATGTGTAAATTGACGGAGGCATAAATGTTAAGAGCCAAATCATCCAGGGCAGTTTTGCGAATCCGTTCTGAAACGCTTTTGCAGGAGCCACGGTCAAAGCCGGTCCCCATCATGGACGTGGGAAATTGAGCGGTTCCCCTGGTTTCTGTGGAAATCTTGGTATGACCATAGACTGGATATGTTGACCGAGCCTCACGGAACCTCCGGCTCGCCCCCTAATCAACCGGTATTTTTTGGGTGTGTGTTTTCAAAGGGGACCCTCAAAACGGTTTTTCCTGTTGGTTTCCCTTAAAAAAAAAAAGGTACCCTCAAAACCAGACGAGCCACCCAAAAAACGATTCAGCAAATGGACTCATGCCGAAGACCACGGCAGTTCCCGTTGGTATGCTTTCCGATAGTCCTAAGAACACCCGGGCCTTGGAACCCAAGTGGGGGTAGATTGTGAGAACGCTGGAAGGAGCTTAAGGGAAACCACGCGTTCAGTTTCGGGGTGAAACATGTTGAAACCTGGAGGATCCGTGACCCCTTAAAAATGGGGTCATGACCCCATGATTTTGGGTGATGACCCATGTTTGAATGGGTCATGGAGACTCCAGGAACTCATTATCCTTTCGTTTTGCGGCACATCCAAGTGGGTTTGTTTTAAAATGGTGAACCCCCACCAAATGGTCGGCTTCCTTTTGGCTTCACTTTCAACCCGACCTAATTGGGAACCCCTCAACACAAGCGCGCGCCCGAAAGCGCCCGATCTGCTCTCCAAAAAACACGCCTTTTCGAGGGTTGAATTGCGGGCGGGTTGCAAATCTACATTTCGCCCGGTTGCACTGCACCCGTCGATTCACTAAACCCCTTCCTGAAGAAAATGTCAATATCATTTAGACACCCCACGTTCCCTTTGGGCACCCAACAATTTTCAGGTGCTATATTTTAAAGAACCAGGTTTTCCACGGAAAACGCTTTGGGGTTGACGTCATACCACATCATACCCTGAACAAAGTGAGTATGTGGGGTGCTGCTGCTTTTCTTTTAAAGCCGTCCAAAAGAGGGGAGGCCCAATTTGAATCTGACACATATGTTGGAACCCTCGATTCTTTCCTTCCGCTAGACCCGTGAAAAGCTTGCATTTAGAAACATGCTTGACACACAAACGAGGCTCTCGCTCTCTCTCTCTCTCTCTCTCTCTCTCTCTTTCTCTCTTTGAGAGTGTTCTTAGATGCGTTGGGAAAGGGAGCATCACCGTGTTTCCATGTGATGTGTCAAAACTCCCAAACTGGTGGTTTTCCTTTTGCCTGTCTTGTAAAAACACAAGAAGAACATCAGGCCACCCTTAAAAAAACGCATCCAGAAATCCAGCGCAATGTCTAGGGAGTGCATCCGAGCTCTTTTGGGTGTGTCTCAAAATATCGTTATCTGACTAACTGGCTGCAGCTGGGAAACCTCCCCTTTGTTAGTTGCTTTGTGGTACAATAGATGATACTTTGGGATCCATCCCCAAAAGCGATCCAGCCAGCCAAAAAAGGACCATGGGATAACTCAAAGGTCACCTCGATTCACTTGCCTTCGTTTTTGCCCGCGGAACTCCCACTTGAGACACACCCGGCGTTTTCGCCGCCGAAGCGACAAAAGCCATGTCGGGCCCTTGGGGCTCGCAATGCCTATGGAGATATGGTGGGTGCCCTAAATATTGCACACCAATCATATTCAACCACAAAGCCTAGGTAAATTACGTTTCTCTAAAGAGTTCCCATTCTTGTCCTTGCAATATTTAAGGCGAGAAAGTCGCTGACACGACCACCAGCTTTCTGAGTCGTCGGGGAAATTTTGAGTCCATGTCCGTGCCACATGGGCTCATCTTTCTTGAGCCTCGGCACCCCTTGTTGGTTTTACACGAAAACGAGGAAAACCGCAGCCAACCTCAGGGGGGTCCAACTTGAAAAACAGAGACACCCAAATGGACCGCAGACAGACAAAATTGAACCTCTCAGATTTGGCCGGCACGTGTAAGGTGAGTTTACTCACGGAAACGCCCACATCCTAATGAGCGCCCTAAACCTGACTTCTGGTTCTGCCAGTGGATATAAGCACGAGGCCTTTTCCCTAGGTATGTGGTAGTGTTCTCGAAAGACTTGGATTCTTGGAAATGACAGAGGGCCGGCCAAATACCGGGTCTAAAGTGACATGCCCAAAACCGCTCACAGGAAATTTGATAAAGCACCTGCAAATGCGCACGATCCAGTGGAAGCGGAGCTGGTGGTAAAGGTGCTCGCGGGTGACACATCTAAAATCAAATCCAAAAGTTTTGAACGTCGCCGATGGATCGGACATGGACCTGGAGTCCCTGGAGACCCTTGAAACATGGGCTCATGACCCCATGATTTTGGGGTAATGACCAACCATTTTTCAGGCGTCAGAAGGAGGCTTCAGGGAGTTCTTCGGACAATTGGGGCAAATGACCATTCACCCAATCAGACATTCCTATATCCAAATGAAGCTGGCACGTGTTTTTTTCCTCCATGAACAACATGGGGCGGTGGTTGCGCATAAACGGGGCCAGGCCTGCCTGTCCTCCCCAAACTGCACATTGACCCGTGATGTGTTTTGTTTGTTTTGCTTTTTTTTTCTCGTGAGTGGCACATCTATGAAACTCGTGGCCCAAGTTCGGGGTGCGCATTCTTGTCCATATGTCTGGCCTAAATATTGAACTCGCCCAAAGGACCCAGAAATATAAAAGGGGATCACCTTTTGGGGCCATGACTTAAATGGACCGAACAGGTAAAACTAAAATTATAAAAGGTCATTTCAGGTCGATTCGCTCTGGGCAAGTGAGCTGACCTCTGTCCTTCCTAAATGCATTTGCGAAAACAAGGAGCCCTTCCTTTCTTTTCTCGCCACTAAAATGGTCCAACTGACCCATGGTCTTACTATCAAAGCCAAGCAAGTGGTGGGGTAAAGGGAAACCACCAACCAGTCTCTGACTTTGATAACCCCTAGGCACTGAACTAGGTAAGGCCCTGGATAACCCCGTCCCCCCAAAAAGTGGCTAGTCCGTCAGAGTCCTGGAAACTCCGGGAGTGGAGATTGGTCCTTCTGACCGGGGCGTTCGTCTCAGCCGGAAGGGTCCAGAAAAATAACAGGATATCGCCTTTTGTCAAGAAGCAAACAGCTACCCTCCCGGGCTAACATGGAAGCTCCCAGGACCCCTTTTGGAAGACTTAAGGTTCCATTTGAACAGAGGCCAATTGAGGGCGCGGAAAGCTTACCTGGAGTCTCCATGACCCCTTAATGGTTGGTCATTGCCCGAAATCACGGTTGATCATGACCAACCATTTTTTGTTCGGGTCACGGAGACTCGGAGACTCCAGGTCCATGTTCGTCCGAGGGAGCGGAAACCGGGTTGACCCCAGGCATGGTCGTCTTGGCAGAAGTGACGCTGTCAAATCATCTCGGCCGCACGTTTTTTGAGGTTCACCACGGGACGGCTGGGCGTCCCAGTGGTACCTGCGGGGATTTGAGCCAGGTCTTATACCGTCCGAGTAACTAACCGTTACTCCATACCATTGCCTCGTCAAATCATCTCAAAAGAGACATCTTCCAGCAGCATCTCCGGCGCCGGCTTGCTCGGAGCCTTGCCGAGGAACCAACCCATGACGCGCGTGGACATGGGTGTGTGGGTCTTTTCTCGTCTTTTCGTACCTGAAGTCTCCACAGAAACATTTGGGTCGATGGCGAAGCCGATTTTCCGAGCTTGCGGTCTTAGGTTTTAAACTTTTCAGGTTGCCTTCCAAGTGGGAATCCACAATTCTTGGGGTCCTTTGAGAACATATCGCTTCTGCTCAAGCCCATTGGAAAACTATGAAGACCTCCAGTACTGATAGATTCCCTTTAAGCCAAAAAGTGAAAGTAACATATTCTACGTTTTAAGCAAGTAAAATAATATGACCCTGATTCACTTCAAGCAAATGGAAGAACAGGGTCATACAGTTTGAACATAGCGTACTCCTCAACGTAGCCGTCCAAGGGCCCCAGGTTCCACGGGGGTGAGAGGGGCCCCAGGTTCCACGGGGGTGAGAGGGGAACTGATTATGACCGAATATGGTGTTGAAACACACCCCTGGGATTCAGTTACCACCATTAAAACAATGGTTGGCCTCATTTTACCACCATAACGTTTACCGTTCTGGATTGTCATCCAAATTGGGTCCCAAGGCCATGCTTTTGATAGGGGTTGGGCCAACTATCTGCAAGCGTTGCCAAAGGCCACCAACGGGCACCAATGGGTCCAGACATGCGTTTGAGGAAAGCCAATCCATGACACGAAAATGCGCTGAACCACCAAAACGCTGGCCTATACTTCACCTCAAAACACCACTACTTTGGTCTGGCAAAAGGGAGCCATGCTACATATGGGGAACCCTCATTGATCGGAAGGTGCATCATGGTGAAATTGGTCGCTGCTGTCCTAGTAATCACAAGCACACCTGCGAAGAAACACGGGCAAACACACACAAACACAAAGACACACACACACACACGCACAAACAATATGGACGCATACGGACAGCAAACACCAGACAACCCATGCAGTGTCGATGTATTTATCCCAAACCCACGGGACCTGACGATAAGGGAAACACGTCGGTCAGGAAGCTTTTTCGCCATGCAGCGCTATACATGATTTCGAAGGGATCGATTCCTAGACTTCTACTTAAAACCATCACCCCTACCAAGGGACGCTTGAGAGCGTCTTTTGAGCGGATACCCATTTTTGTGGTGTTTTGAAGGAATAAATCATTTGGAGAGGGCGGCTCCTTCCACAAAATCGTGAGGGTACATTCAAAGGCCTCGCACCCATAGTCTCGCATCCGGGGGTGGTGAGCTAGGCCTCAAGCTTTTCAGGAAAACCAACAGGAAAACCAAAGCCATTTGTATCAACCCCCAAACTCACCCGTATGCAAGCCTAAACCAAGCAATTCGGCGGGGCTCCGATTTGTCAGGTTTCCCGAGGTGCCTTTTGGAGCCGCTGCACGGAAGGAGACCCACGTGAGCCGTGTGAGCCGTGCCCGAAACCTATTGACTTTCGGGTCTACCAATATGGTGATAACGATTTCTACTGGCCTTAATCATTTTAAACTTTATGACACCCATCGACACCTGGCGCATAAGTAGAACCGCCTACTAACATGTCGGAGACGTTTCTTGGGCGCTGGGATCGTGTGACTTGTGTGTGTGTGTGTGTCTGTGTATGTGTGTGTGTGTGCCAGGCTTTGAATGGCAAATTTACTGGCGGTCCTGGCCCAGGTTCCAGCCACAATCTTCCTTGAAAAGAACAATACTCACTTGTAACGCAAGGGCCTTTCTTGTTACACGCTTCTCTGCGCATGGCTTAGTTTGGAAACCAAAGCGCCCCGCTTCCCCAAAGGCCTAACCCTTTGTAGGTTAAATGGAAAAGCCAGTTGCTCCCAAAAGGTATAAGGGGTTCAGGTGGCACCAAAGACCAGCCGGGTATTTGGTAGTTGATTTAGAGACCACCGATCCCAAGAACAAGCGGGAAGGGCACGACTTGCTCCTGGGGCCTCAGCGCAAGCAACTTGAGAGCTGCTAGGAAGGTGCTTTGGACCCCTAACATGAGCGGGGTCAAAATCTTCATGAAGCTACTTGGATGTTCGGCCAAGTTAGTAGGGGTAGAACCTACTTCGTGACCAGTGGCAAGTAGGATATAACTAGAACGGTAACTAACCACGTGCTAACTTGGCGAATCAAGCACTCAAGTAAGCTATCCCTATACATCTTGACTCATCGAGCCCGACACCACGCCTTGCGAATTGGCGAGGTCGCCTGGCCAAGGACGGTCGGAAAGCCCACCCTAGCGTTCAGCGGGTCCAAACGGGGGGGGGCACTATCTAAGAAACCCAACGGTTTCTGATTCGATTCCAACATACCAACAAACAATGGTTTCAATCATGGGTTCACGGAGCTAGGGTTCAACCCCGATGAAAAAGAATGGCCTTGGGACCCAAGTGGATGCTAACAGTCCTTGGGTATATAATCAAAGGTGCTTACATTCACAGTTGGTTTGAGCCCGAGGGTTAAGAGCCAGGAGATGTAAACCGCAGGTGTTGGTCTACGCAACTTACCGATTGGAATCCATTTCGGGCCGCTCCCTATTTTGAGCCACTAAATGGCAGAGAAATAAAAATAAGTAAACAAAAACGAGTATGAACCCAGCCAAACAAGTCACGGGAAACACACAAACAACAACAAGACTGGAAAGCCCCACCAAACAAGGTATCTACGGAAAAAAAGGAGATAGGTACGAAAAAAGAAGATGCACACAAGCAGAGAATGAAGTTACCTACGAACAAATACCAAGCAGGAAGTCCAACCAACAAGCTACCAAACAACGCAACAAGGAACCCCGCCAAGCAAACCGAACATGCGTCTGGTTCTTCTTCGAAGGTGAAAACAATGGATACGGCTTGCACGTTCTAGAACCACCAACTATGGCCAATGGAGGTTTCGGGCGCAGGCAGAAGAAAGGACATAGCGACACTAGGTGGCTCTCTCCGCAGCACCCCAAACCCACAACTTGGCACAAGACCTTGCAGATGGCCGTGGGTGTGCCATTTCTGGTTGTGGTGTGCCACTCGGAAGTCGCTTCCGTGCATAGAGAGGAAGCTCTATACCTGGACCCTCAAACTACCCATAAAAATGGGATATCACCCCATAATTTTGGGGGTCAAACCCATTTTTAAGGGAATTTTGAGGGTTCAGGTATATGTGAGAGCTTTGATCTTGGACATCTCGATGTACTCGCTTTCCACCGAGGATGCATTCGAGTCCAGAATGAAAGCCTTAAGCGGCTCAAACTTGAGACGAGTGTGCCTTGTTCGGGACCCTGCCCTCACGAAAAAAGACAAAAACAGCCCACAAACTGGTGTCATCAAAGGGTGGTGGACACGGAAAAGCATTGGCTTCGCCACTTGAACTGTTACGAGCCAAACTGAAGCCCATGGTATCCATCTGAAGCTGTGTACAAGAATACCAACAAAGGACGTTCACGGCTCGTTCTACCTATGGGCTCACAACAAAAATGGTAAATCGAATTGGTTGTCCACCTGTTATTTGCTCTCCACCTCCGGGGGCGCGCTCAACTCCTACTTACAATCAAGCCTCATTTGCTTTCTCAAACCCAAACCCAGACGGGGGCTGAGCCTCAACAAAAACAGGACACCCTCCAAATACCACCTTCAAATTCTTTCAGGGTATGCTTGAGGTTTATAGTCAGTGGTTGTATTTCATTTGCAACCAATCATTTCATAAGTGGAGTCGGAAAAAAAAAGAGAAAACAAAACTTGTGGTTTGCTGCTTGATTGGCAAAAAGTGACTAAGTACTACCCCCCCCCCCCCGCTTCCCCTTGCAGAAAACAAACAAGCAAACAAACAAACAAAACAAACACGCGTGTTTTGCTTTTGCGCTTTGAACCGACCCGGAAAAAAAAGGGGGGGGCGAATCGAAGCACGGCTCGCTCCGAGCTGCGACAAAGGCGCCTTGCCATCCAGCTCCCCGGGCAAAATGACCTGCACCCATTGATCGGCAAAGCGGGACCGCACAAACCGCCCACAAGACCCCCATGGACCAAGGGCCAAAATGTGGACCTTGTTTCACCAAATGTCTAGGGGTTGATTCCCCATTTGTCCAAAAAAATGTTCTTTCATCAAGAACCGGATCCGTCTAGGGGTTGATTCCCCGTGTTTTTTTGCTTTTTTTTGTCAAAAAAATCGGTCTTTCATCAAGAACCGGATCCGTTTCCCCTGGGTTCTTGACGGTTTCCTGAAAAGATTCGGATCCCTGGAAAGAACGGGGAAGGTACCCCTAACTCCGGGCACCAGTGGATTGGATTTCCCAATCCAAAAGCCGCAGAGGCGAGTTTTCTCTCTTTTTTTGTTCGCCTCCGAATGAAAATGGGTGTGTCGTAGCTTGGTCAGGGAACCAAACATAGATGTCATGTCGTCCTGGAGTCTCCGAGTCTGACCCTGAACAAAGTACTGGGCAAAAGAAAGGGGTCATGGAATTCCCTTATGAAGGTGGAGGCTCCAGGGTCAAGAATCTTCTAAGAAGCTTCTACAGCAATAACTATGGCTAGCTATGAATCAATGTCGTTCAACCACAAGCCTGGCAGCGGCTCGATGTCCATGCATAGCAGCTTCCCGCCAGTTTCTAGTTGGTAGTTTGGTCTCGTGGTTTGGATGTGTATCACTGTAGAGCGGGTAACCAAGGGAATCACCCTTTTGAAAAAGACTTCAAGGAATATGGCTGGCAACCGCTAGTTTCCAGTTGGTGGTTTGGTTTGGTGCCTTGGACGTTAAGGGGTGCCTTCCCCATTTGCTTCAAGAGAAATTGGGATTCAACTAAGGCTGGGGAAGGATAGGCTCAGTTGGTCTCTGACCCCCAAGTTTCTCAACTTTTGGCTCTCAACTGGACCGCACATTTGTTGTCCCTGCTTCCATTTTCCAAGGCAACCCATTTCGGGTACCTATTTTGGACCCACACCCACGTAAAGGCCAAAGACCAAAGAGCCAATCATATGAGTGACTAAACCTCGGAAACCAAACTTTGCGAAGTCTGGACCTACTTTGCCCAGATCTACTAGGATCGCCAGCCCTGTGGTAAATGGCTATTAACCCAAGTTAAGTGTAGATTCTTCCCTACGACATCTTATCGGTGTCCCAAAAAAAGAAATCCGAAGACGGTGCCAGTGCCACGTGAATAGGGATCCTTCTCTGAGGAAGCCAAAACCAGGGACAACTCTTGTTGAAGAGAAAGATGACCGAACACCAACAAAGACCCCCAGCCCTAAGCATCAAGCGGAAGCTCAAAAAGCCCCTTAAATTGAGGCCAACACCTTCCAGAACCCCTCACTCGAGGCTTTCTGATGCTTGGGGAGGTCCATGTTTTGCCCATAGCCACCTCAGCCCCCTGCCAGAAGGGCAACTAAACCCGTCGCGCGATTGCGCCTCGTTGAACCTGTGTCGGCGCCTCTCGCCTGCCGTTTCACCTTGAAACCAGGCCGTTCGAGACGGGTCTGTCGCATTTTCCAAGGAACAGTTGGGTTTCTTTGTGTGGCTCCAATGCAAATGCCAAGTTTGGATGTAAAAGACTGATTGATCTGGAGGCCCACGGTGCTTCCGCTAAAAGTGAGAAACTTATCTCATTCAGGAGGCCTCAGTAGTACTCACCCTACAATCTTAAATGGACCTCGTCAGCTTTCGTGTTAGCGGTTGGACGGGTTCGCCCAAGGGGGAATTCAAAGACCTGCTCTGCACAACGTGAAGGGACTCCAACCTGATATCCAGGGAATCTAGGCATGACTTGATCCCTGAAGCAGTTGGTAGTCGCCTTTGGCTGATCCCTTTGAAGGGAGGCACAGGGTTCGGCATTTTCAAGGTCGAGGAAGACGCAAAAGCATGGGCTTCCATAGCCCAAGACTCCCTTCATCGAAGGTCGGGTCTTTTCACCTGAGTCCAATTCCAAAGACTCAGCCAACTGCCGCGTCTTCGCAAGTTGAGAAAAGAGCTGCAAGGATGTTCCTCGCTTGGCTTGGCACACATCGGGATACACCAAAAATGATATGTTCAGACTATCTTCCATATCTAGTGAACCCGTAGCATACGAACAAAACATGTATTGGAGGAGACCCCAAGTCTCGATATCGGACTCTTAAGGTACTTCTTTGCTTCTTTTTGTGGTTTGCGCAGATTGTTCAAATTGCGGTGACATACCCGGATTCAAAACAGTTCACAATTCTTGAAAATTCGGTTCGGATTCACAGACCAGAAGCAAGTCAGACACCTTGTGGGCGACCTCGTTTTTAACCCGATTCCCGGCTCGGTGAAATCACTCGCGCCAACTCGCCGAGCCACTGGAAGGACTGCATTCCGGGCACACGATGTCCTCCTTAGAAACCCGGCTCGTGAGGCCCCTGCTGGCTCGTTTCCTTCTCAGGCAACCGCCTTTTTAGTGGTTTGTAAAATGGAAACCTAAAGAAAAAGCACATTTTGACGAAACCCCCTTTTTGTGGCCAAAGAACAAGAACACATGTCTGGGGGGGGGGTTCTCTACAAAAAGACACACCCTGCTCCTTTCGCCTGCATTTTGCCAGCCGCAAGTGCTCCTTCAGCTCATAGGTTTCTTCGAGAAGATCGTCTCTACACGTGTGGCTTTTGCTATACAAAGTCAATCCCTGGGAGTCAAACCATTGAAACTATAGGGCTCATTTTACCACCATAATGTTTACCACGCAGGATTGTCAAATTGTCCAAATTGGCTCCCGAGGCCATTCTGTTCATCGGGGCAAGGAACCCTAGGGCAATAGCGTACCGGGAAGGTCCTCATAACCGCCAGCTGGCAACAGGGAAACTCCGCTGAAGACACCAGCTGAACAAAAAAACGGAGAGCAGCAACTCACTTGACAATCCCCACACAGCCGGACGTCCACCACAAGGATCGTCCTCCGCAGGAACAAGTGGTTGCAAAGTCAAATTATTGAGCTTGGGCATTGAACAAACTGAACGGCTCCAAATAAACCGGGCGAAAGACATCCATTGTCTTGAATGTTGCTTGGTATCTTAGCATCTCGAGGCAGAGCCGGGAACCACTCAACCCGTTGATTCAACCAAGGACATCCAATTGAAAGGACTCCTGAACACGTTGAAGGATACCATGTGCTTGGCTTGCACTGGCATTGGAACAGATGCAGATTTCCCTCACTTCCAATCAAGTGGATGGCCTTCACCACTAACATGGTCCAATGGCAAAAAGGACAAAGCCCGTCTCTTGGGGTAACTCCTCTTGGCTGGATCTAAAGGGAAACCAATATCAACCGCCTGTTTCAAGCATCCCTCTAAGATGGTTTCCACTACCACAAACCACTAGCCCAAGTGGCTTAATGGAATATACAGCCATTATGTAGCCACTATACGAGGGTATATACACCAATTTAGCCTGGGGGTAGCTTCGTTTTGGGAATACTTGAAACCATCGGAGACAAAGGGAAACTAAAAGGACACCATAAATTTTTAATTTTGTATGAGAGACACCCAAAGGCAACGGTTTTGGGGCTGGAAAGACGCGCCACCGCTTCCGGCATGCTCAGGGGTCTTGGATGGATTTGAAACGTTGGTTTTAAGTACCACGGGGATTCCGAGCCATTTCCCGGTTTGGAACCTCCAAAAGTGGCATTGAAGGGACACCACTGGTAAATTGATCAAGTTTTGGAGGGGAACTCCAGTGACCGCTGTTCCAAGGTACACCCTATTGGATGGTTTTAGAGGGGATGCCACAAGGACAACCACCCATTTGGGGGGAAAGACACCCCATTCGGAGTGGCTATGATCTGAAAGCGATTTGTAGCTGTCTCACCTGATAAAACACGGGCTGAATGTGCCCGCATTTTGGTGCGTTCTTGAGCTACAGCCATATGGAAGCCGCAACTCACCTCCCAGCGAGTGACTCGATGGCCCACAAAAACATGACCACGCTGCTTCGTTTGCCGCTAAGCATGGCAACCAGACCCAAAAAGCCACGCTTTTGTGCGAGCCCCGGCACTCGTTGGGAAGAATCCAACATCATGTAAAGAATCAAGAGGGCCGCCGCACTTACTTATGACCTGCTCCCTACTCACCTACACTTGCCCGGGTGTTGATTGTGAATCAATTGGGACTCGTTAGTGAACATAATTACATGATGCATGTATGGAAAGCTTACGTTTGCCTTCAATTAAATGCCATTCAACACGGAATGTCCCTTGTAGACCCCACGCCAAGTTTCACCTCTTGGTTGCTATGATTGATCGAGCTCCACATGGGTGGGCGGCTGTTCGAACAGCTTTTTGACCAGGGGGAATAGAGATCAGTGGCTGTAACAACAGTGTTTGCTGCAACGGGCTTTTCGTTTCTTCGTCCCCTTGGGTTGTTCGCTTGGCGGGACCGAGAAATAACAACAACCGTGCCACTGAAAAGGTGAAGTCTGGGTGGGAAACTTCCATTTCGTTAAGACCCCTGGAACAAAAACATGGTGATAGATTCCTTTCAAAACCAACAAGGGCGAAAACAAAAAAACAAAAAACCTTAAGCAAATGGAAGGCAATGAGACGAGTTTCAATCAGCCCTGGGCAAAATGACTTGTGTCGAGGACGCACAGCACGCCCGGCTTGGGTTGCTGGATGAGAATTGGATTGCCCGGCCCTTCTCGTCCTTCCCAAATAAGCAGTGGTACTGTGGATGGACGAAATCCTGCACCACCTAAAAAACCCTGGACTGATGATTCTCCTGTAAATACCAACGAACAATGGTCTCATGGTGTCATAGCGGTGCAGGAATTCGTCCATCCACGGTATTTTTAGATTCTAGCTTATTTCCTTTGTGTTCCATTGAACACTACTCAAACAATGTGTACGGTAGCTTGGAGCAAGACACATCCACAATACCGTAACGACTCTGCCCACAGGATGTTCCTGATCTTCGTCTTTTTGTACCAAACTTCGAACTGCTCGACCAGCTCGAATGTCATCTCCGGATTCAAACATGACGTTCGCGGGCCAATTGGAGGCGACCCGGTCCCACGAAGTTCGATATCGCCCGCGTAGCTAGTTCTCCTTTCACATACGACAACGGTCGCGCAGCCCCGAGGAAGGGGAGAACTCCATGCCGGAAGAATCGGCTTTGTCATTTGTCAAGGCCAAGAGGCTTCGCCTCTCGACAAGACATCCACAGCTTCTTCCGAAAAGTTGAGATTGCGTCACTGTCTTCAACTCCTTTATCAAAGTTCTCATCTTCCTTCCGTCGGGACTCATACCAGCGTTTAGCTCGTCTTGAAAGTTATAATGTATGGATTCTGGCAGGTCAAAGACGTTAGAGCGATGAACAAAGCATGTGAGCAGCTCGGCTACAAGCCTCATGTGTGCTCCAACCACTTCCATCCCGACCTCTTCAAACACTGCTGAACTAAGAACTGGAGCCCCAATGGTTTCGCTCGTTTTACCCTTCTTACACAATTGAGTTTGAAACCAGGCAAAACTGCGTTACCAAAAGCCTGGCACTGACTGGGGTGACTTTAGCGACTAAGGCCGTTTCTTTTCAAGGTTTAATTTAAAGGGGGGGTCCAATTCCTCTTTAGGGCCCTGACGATTTTGAGATCTGTCATACTTGAAAAACTAACGTACAGAACCCCAAGAGGGCCCGAGGAGTCCCCGAAAAGAAGTTGCCGCTACGAGCGTTTGTGAGGTTACATGCGCAATCTCTGGTCAACTCTATACCCTGGGATTCAAATCACCATTAAAACAATGGGGGCTCATATAACCACCATTGTTTACCTAAGGATTGTCATCATCCAAATTGGGTCAACCTTTCTTTGAATGGGGGTTGAACCGCAGGGTATATACTATGTCCGTCTCTCCTTTCGCAAGCATACACTATGCAACCACGTCCTGTTGCCTGGGGGTCCCATTGAAGAAAGGCTGATAAAAAGTCACGGCTGGACATCTGGGCCCCTGCTAAAAGTTGTAACTCGTCTAGCTTTTAGTGGCTTGAATGAGCACCCAGCCACTAAACCGACTAAAAAGCTGAAAGCTACGGAACCGGAAGACATGGAGCTCATCCCACTTCGCTCGCAGCCCAGTGGCCGGCGCGGAAGGGAAGGACACGCACGGCTCGACGGGTGGTTCACCCCTCGGCGCAGCGCCCACATCCACCTCACGGGTCGTACTGCGGATGGACGAAATCTTGCAGCACCACATGAGCGTTGGATTGATTCCCCACAAGCTTGCTTGGACATGATTCAAGCTTCCGCGGACCCTTCCGCATCCTTGCCGCGGGCCAAGGGGTCCCTTCCGCGAACTTCCGCGGCACATGTGTTTCATTGTTTGCTTCCGCAAACCTTCCGCGGCGCATGGTTTACAAGATTTGCTTCCGCAAGTATGGGCGCAGAAAGGAAAATCACTTTAAGTAAGGTAATTAGTGTTTCGCCGCAGCCTGTGTAGGCTTGGGCTCCATTGGGCTACGCATGCTACGCGGCCACTTGCCTGCAAACACGGGGCCAACCTTCCGCGGAGCTTCCGCGAAGCTTCCGTTGTTCTTCTACTGTAATCGTGTTTCTGTGCTTTTCCATGTGCACTGAAACATTTAATTTATATCAGCCAAAAAGCTTCCGCAAACCTTCCGCGAGCAAATCCCTTCCGCGAAGCCTTCCGCATGCTTCCGCGCGTGTGGCGCGGTGCACATTTTCAATAATAATAATAATATCCCTCTCCCTACTAAATTACCTTGCGGCTAAAAAACCCGCCGCTCACATGGACACCCAGGGGAAAGCGTTTCTTATTGGTATCAGGAATCGAACCAATCCAGGCTTTAGGTGCGAAATGGAGTTCGCAACCATCCAAGAAGCTCTTGGGTCTGTCTCAAAGGAGAACTCTAGATGGTGGGGAGGGCTCCGTGCTTGCTGAGAAACACCAACGGGTCTACTTTGCAACCACCTGACCCTGAGCCAACGGGGTATACCCAAAATTGAGAGGTCACGACATCCTGAAGGGGCCATGAACAACATCCAGGCTCCTTCCTTTAAGACTTTATATGCTTTGGGGGGTTCTCAAAATGTGCTCCCCTGCTTGTGATTGGACACCCCTTGTTTAGTGGGAAAAACATCTCATCTGCTTGGTTGCTCGTCCGTTAAACCCAGCCAGCTACCATGATGCTTTGGTGGCTTGTTAAAATGCGGTCCCCAATGCCTGGTGTCCCTGTTGTTTCCCACTTGGGTGTTCACCCGACTTAGTTAGTGGCTTATCACCATGCAGCAACTGGGGCAAGTCCCCTTACAGCAATGGTTGTGAGCTGCTTACACTCAAGTGGGCAAACCAAAGAACATCAACCATAGATCATAGACCTCTAAAACTGATTGCCAAAAAGGAGACACCAGAAGCTCAAAGGATCGCAACTGAGTCTTAGCATTGTTGGCTGTGTAGTCCAGATGTAAGTGTGGCTAGTCCTCTTAGTCTGTTGCCTGATTTCCTTTTGGTTTCCCATGTTCCCATTTGCTTAAGCCCACTGGACAAAAACATATTTCCAGTATAGTGATACATTCCCCTTAAAACCAACCTGTCGAACCAACCTGGAAAAGCGTATGTCCATTAGTGGGTAGATTCCCTTAAAAGCCAAACGTGTCAAATGAACAAATCTTCACTTCACCAAACGGAAGCCTTGGACTCGAAAAGTGAGGGTATCCGGCATCCGCTCCCAGTCAGCATATATATATATATAATCTAGGTTGCTTTCTGCTCCCCTGCTAAAAGTTTAACTTTTAGCGGTTTAATACGGGGAAAACAAAAAAACATTAGTTGGCAAAAAGTGGTTCAGTCCTAACATCCCTTGCCAAAATGCGGCAAAGTCATATGGGCATGGGTCCAAATCCCGTACCCCCAGTGAACATCCGATTCAATCCCCACTAAAATAGGTCCTAAAATGGGTGATGAATTCACCTACCAACCAAAATGGGATCCCAAAACGGTTTTGACCCGCACCCATATGGGAAAAGCACGTTTCCTTAGCTCCTGGCCCGTCTCGGCCGCGAGCGAGAACGCGCCTCCCGGGTCTCGGCGTCGGGCTTGGCCGTGCTGGCGCACCGCGGGCCCATGGGCTGGGGCTTCGCGCAGACCTTCCGGCAAAGGCCCAGAACCGGCGGGAGAAAAGGGGAGGTGCCGCGCCCGAGAAGAGAGAAGCCCCCCTTTTGTCGGGTGTAGGTGTCAAATTTGAATTTCCAGTGGAAAAAGAATTGGCACCAAATTGGATTGTACAGGTACCTGGAGTCTCCGATTTAACCAGAGAACAGGTGTCATAACCTCATAACCCCTTAATTTTGGGTAATAACCCCTTTCTTAAAAGGGTTGTGGAGTGTCCTTTAAATTTCCGGTGGAAAAGCAAACTGGCACCAATTTGGTTTGTATCGCGGATAGGGAATCCGTGTTCAATACTCCACATGAACAAAAAGCGAGTGGTTGTGAATGCGACTTTTATCAACCAGCGTCATTGACTCATTGACTCCTGGTCAGAAGCAAAAGAGGCTGGGTAATGAGTTCTTCGATAGGTTGTTGTCAACTATGATTCTAAATGCAAAAGGATCAACTCTGTTCAAAATGCCTCGTGGTCGCTAATCCGATTCTCCAAAATGCCTATTGCACAACCACTACAAAGAAAGGGGACCCCTTTCGTTTCCCGAGGTAAGGGTTGAGGATTGCCTTTGAACAGCCCAGATTAAGTCTGAACCAAGAGCAATAGTCTACTCACACAATAACACTTCCTATTGAGAGTTGCCAAGGCCCGTCAACAGAAAACCAAACCAATGTTACGCAAGAAGAAACTGTCTCATCCATTGCATTCCATGTCCGTACCATAGTCCAAGGGGCTTTACGCTGAGTAACTTGTGCTGCATCCGCAATCTCGTTCAGGAAGGCATTTTGCCATAGCTTAGGAGCATACATGATGTTGACCCAGTTTATTACTAGGGGGGTGTCCCTGCATTTAGGGATTCATCACTTTTAATATGGGGTCAACATTTTTGCACACAAAGGGTTCACTGCCATGCAGCCATGACTGATGGTTTCCTGGAACTCCGTATGGCTGTGTGTTTTTGTTCACGAGTATATATGCTTGGCCGGATTTGGCCGTATTGCCATTTGCCGTAAAAATCCGTATAGCCGGCTTTCCGTCAAACACGTATGACCCCCCCAAAAAAGGGCCCGAGTTTCAACATGCGCAGGAACTTCTGCAAAGCCGACCGTAGCTTCCAAACCACCCCACGGGACCAAACCCCTGGCTCCCGCCTGGCCGCCCGCGCAAAGACTAGTGAGGGCGTGGCACGCGAAAGTGCTGGCCGGAATGATGGGCAAATCCATGATGATCTCCACCACCGACTCCGCCTGCACCGAGTGCCAAATTCCCGGAGAATGGGAACTGAAGACTCCCAAAAGGGCGTCTGCGCTTCCATAGAGGCACCGTGAAAGGGCCTCAACCATAAAAAAACGTGCCGGGAGGATTCTTTCTGTGCTGCCAACATGGGACTCCCATCCCACCATGACTACTCTATCACAAGGGTTCTGGAGCTAGTTCCCTTTTTGTGATACCAAAAGGATTCCCCCGCTGTTCGGTTGGTGGCCTGGTTCATAGGTGACGCAGACTCATCTTCGCATGTGTGCACTCTGCTTCCACCGTGCCGTCTTATGACCCCAAAGTCGACTTATACCGCGAGGTTCCCAGCTTTTGCTGTTTTGCGGAACCGACCCCAGGTTCAGAATTCCAAAATTTTGGGGTGTCTAAAGATTGGGGACCCCTCGAGGTAGGCGCCATGGTGATCTACGGGCTTCCTGGTACGTTCAGCCATCAAAAAATGAGCAAATCAGCCTGTGGGTCCAAGTCTCCCTTGCATCCCTGGAACCTAGATCGCACACCCCAGAATATGGCCAGTTGACCGTAACGAGGGCTGGAAAAAAAAATCGATGTTGCCAGGCAACCCACTGGCCGCTTCATTTGGGTATGAGTCAAAATTGGCCCACCAGGGACCGCAAGTTTTGTCCATGGCTCGATTTACCCGGGCCATTTATACCCATGTTTGACCCAAAACCATTTGGAAAAATGTCAACATGGAAACCTAAAAACTGGTGGTGTCCCTGTTTCCATTCAAACACTTTTTAAGCAGCCAAAAGAAAAGAGGGTACCCTCTGCAAGACCGCAGACCCGTTGGGAAAAGCTTTTTTTCCTCGGATCCCCTACTAAAAAAGTTTAACAATTTAAGTGGCTTGAATTTGGACACCAACCCACTAAACCGTTCCGAAGAACCTTACAAACCTAAGAAACCGCACGATGGGCACCGGACACCTAGACCTGTCAGCTTCCCTACAAATTCCAAACCCTGGGCTCCCAAATTTCTCCAGCTCCAGCGGCACACAGTGTACACAAATTCTTGGCTCCTCTGCCTGCTCGGACCCACATTGGGGTCTCCTTTCGGCTCCCTTTCAAACCCCCCCCAAAAAAAACAAGGCTCAAAAGAGGACAGACCTCAACAAAAAGCATTACCAGTAAAGGAAGAGAGGACAGACCCACTCGACGAAAAAACAAACAAAAAAACAGGGCAAACCAAGCCACAAGTACCTGGAGTCTCCGTGGCCCTTTGGGGGTGACCCCATTATCTTGGGTAACCGTCAGACCCCGTTAATGAGAGGGTGATGGAGACTCCAGGTATACCGAGGCTCAAAAGAGGACGGCCCCACTCGCCAAAAGAAAAAAATGCAGCGGGGGAAAGGCCCATCCAGCCTGGAGCTTCTGGTCGATCCTTTGCGCGATGGGAAGCTACGTTTGGGGTGTTCCAAATTGGGGACCGACTCCAGGAAGGTGGTTTCCTTTCGGCTTTTTCCTTTGAAACCCATGCAAGGGGTCCCCGATTTTGGGAAACCACCAAATGGAAGTGAACATACGGGCGTGATTTTTTGGAGGGAGTCCATAATTGAGGAAAGGTGCAGACATGCGCAGAGTACCAGTAGCTTTGTCCGCTCCCTGTACACATCACCGTCATCACCAGCGGAGAAGGACACTTAAACAACATGAGCCCCTCGGCTGAACGGTGATGCAACCTGGGGGGCCGAGACATTACTAACATGTCGTCCTTATGATTCCAACTTGGTTTTACGGGTTGGGCCAGGCCTCACCAATATGTTCAGATTCTGCTAGTCCACAACATCTTCGGAACTATTCTCTCACACTCCAGGTTTTTCAGAGCATGTGGGCCCGTTCTAGATGGATCCCTTCCGGGCTGCATCCAAAGACCACCTGGCTGTGGCTCAAAAAAATGTACCAAAATGGTACCTTGGTAGACGAAACCAAAGACTAAAACATGCGTAACCCTGGCTCTTTAATTTTGAGCCACACCCACCTAATTTACAAGCCTCCAAATCAGCTCGCGATCGGCTTTTCGCAGGTTGGGAAGGGAATCAACACGCTTGCTGGCATTGAGCCGAACATCGGGGGCATGCTCTGCTCGTTGAACCAAGTGTTGGGGAACCTTCGGTGGGCATGTTTTTTGTAGGTGACCCCCCAGATGGGTCTGTTTTTGTTGGGCATGTCTGTTTTAGGGTTTTCCTGTTGGTTTCCTTTTGAAACCACTAAAAAACAACAGGCGGCACACGCTGGTGCGATAGGTAGGGAATGTGGGTGAATGAACCTAGGGATACCCTTAAAGGAAACTACAAGGGATGGCTTACAAGGGTCATTCCAACTCCTTCCCCCCTACACCCAGGTCTTTAGCCAAAGCTCTCTGCGGACCAAGAAGTCACCGGCACCAGTGGAACGCCTCCAAGAGAGAGGAGTTCGCTTCAGTTCAGTCGGATGGCTCATTTTAAGCAACAACCTGGAGTCTCCGTGACCCTTGAAAAATATTTAAAAAATTGGGTCATGAGATTTTGGGTGAGACCCCAATTTTTAAGGGGTCATGGAGACTCCAGGAAGTGCTGCTTTGTTTTGGAAATCGATTATTAATATGACTTGTGCTGTTCTTGGCTTTGTTGTTTCTGTTGTTTGCTTTTAAACAACAAGTTCTGACTTCTGTTGGCCAAGCCACCGGACGTGTGGCAGTTTCAATAAATGTCACAACCGACCTCAACATCCTGAAAGCAACCTCCAAAGTGGAGGTTCAAGGGGAACCTGCCACCAAAAATCACTAAGAGGGAACTCACAGGAAACTCATGATGCAAGTAGAGGAAGCTCAATTGGGTATGGCTCAAAATTCGACCACCAGGAATTGGACCGCAGGTTTTAGTCCTTGTGTCCATTTACCGCGGCAACCCATTTCGGGCACCAATTTTTAACCCCCCAACCCCATTTTTGAGTCGGATGTACCCTCTACGAAAACCAGGAATTAGAATCCCCAAACCACAAATGCAAACCGCCATGCCGTTGCCACCAGGTGGGTGTGTCTTTTCTTGAAAAACCCCAAGAAAGGCTTTCGTTTCTCTGTGGTCTCTCTTTAAAACAACCCCCAAAAAAATCGAGTACCAACTCAAGAAAGGTAGCCCCGCGGTTGTTGAGTTCGATGCAAGGTCATCGACTTGTCGACTCTCTTCGGGAATGCATACGCAATCTGCAAATCCATTCCCGAAAAACTGCAACAAGAATGGGATCTGGCGAACAATATACATGGCTTTCTCTTGGTTCACCCAAGTGGAATCGCATGGCAACAGGAATAGATCAGGCAAATGAATCAGTTGATGGATCCCCTACTCCACCCCCGGTTTTTGGTTGAGCTGGGTCTTCTGTATCTCAAAGGTAGGGATTCATTTTGAAAAAGCAGTGCCACGCCGTGGCTATGCAACTAAGAAGTAGGCTCGTATTTGTCACGTGAGTCCCTGCAAACTCCAGGCCTCACTTCCTGAGTGGCTCAAAACAAGTCGGTCTTTCCCAAAAGTATACAGGAACGCGGGAAGTGAGAGGTACTCAATTTTTCAATTGCTCAATCAGGGGATTGTTCCCCAGTCTAAGCAACTAGCGCCCGATCGATTCAGACTAATATGTTGCTCAGTCTTGCTTTAGGGACCCCCTCCCCAAAAAAAACAAACAAACAGTGATTATCCAAAGGAAAACAACACAAAACAAAAGAAACAACACACACAAAAAAACGCGATTCTCCAAAACAAAACACACACCCCTCTGATTCTCCTCTTCATTCTCCGCTAGAGGGGGGGTGTCCTCAACGGACAACAAAACCCGTGGGTTTCAAGATCTATGTGTGGCGCGGGTCGAGGAAAAAAATGGATGTTCAATTCAAGATCCTTGAGACACCATTTCTTGGCAGCTGCACACAGTTTAACTTTTTGTGGGTTCAATGGAAGAGACTTGCTTTCCCCAAAAGTTAACCTCTAAAGATCCGTCACCCAATACTGTGGATGGACGAAATCCATTTCGCACCACTCAAAAAACCCTGGAATGATGATTCCCCTGTAAATACCAACAAGCAATGGTTTCCCATGGCTTCAAAGTGGTGCAAGATTGAGTCCACCCACAGTAGCAATCAAGATTTGGAACAACTCCATGTGCAACCACTGGAGGTCACTGAAGTCCGCCTGAAAAGTGGCAATTTTCTGGTGCGCTGTGTGCCAAGAGTTAGGGGCAAACAGTTCATCGGTGCAAGGCTTAAACGCTTGTGTAGCATATGGGTGTATGCCTGGAAAGGTCACGACCGCCGCAGTCAAAGCCTATAGCATTCATCAGCTCTCGGCTCCACTGGCAGTTGCCACTGTTGGAGGTCCAAAAAGGGAAACTGGAGAAACTCAGTTGTTCAGTGACCCTGAAAAAAAAGGGAACCCTTTTTTGGGCTTGGACCATTTCAGTGGGGCAGCCACCAAAAAAAAGGGGGAAAAGAATTGGAGCCACTCAACTGAGGAAAGCCCTGAGGTATCCCTTAGAATTCATGGCCGTTTGGGAAACCTCATTGAGTGTCACTCAAACAAGCGCATTGTGGGGGGGGGGGGGGACAGGTGGCAAAAAAGCGCCTGCTGCAACAACAATATCGCACTCTCTGTTGGCCACGGCCAGAGCACAAGTTGTTTCCGGGCATCCCAAGACTAGTCACGAGGACAAGGGAAACCAAAGGAACTTGTTGACCCATGTTCAAAACTTTGTTCAACCAAAAAAACAATTTGAACCTTGGGACACCTCAAAAGGGTTCGTTTCCTGATCGCCCTTTCCGTGAGCCCGACAAACGGTTGGTACGGGTCCCCGCAAAAAGACCAGCCAGCGACTCGTGGCTTGATGTATTCATTCGGCTTGATCTTTTTGGACGCTACTGTGTTGGTCATCTCAAGATCCTTGTGGTGTTCCTCTACTTGCAATTTTCGTCCCTGCCTACTATGTCCAGGAGATTCCCTTTAAAACCAACAGGAGGCAATTGAAACGCTAAAAGCCAGATGGAAGATATAATCTAGCATTCTGGTGAGTGTTGACATAGGGACCAAAGAAAATGACAACGGTCTCTTCTTGCTTCCCCTTTAAACCCACTCCCTTGGCGTATCCAACAAAAAGTTGAGTCAGCGACTCGTGGCCCTGACCATCGCTTCCCGGAATCCGAAGCCCAAACGTTCGCCTGCTGCCGCTTGCACCGGCTCGGAGCTTTTGGGCCTCGAGGCGGGCTCCATCTGGGTTGAGTCATCAAAACTTGAGCTGAGGATTTCTTGGTTTACGTTGGGTTCGGGGAGCAAAAAAATGGTTGAAAACAAATAGCAGTTAAGTGGTTGGATTTCAACCACTAAACCACAATAAGCAAAAATGTAAAATGTTTCCCAACAACAACCATGGGATGGTTCCGCAATCGATTTTCCCCCCCTGGTTCATCAGCCTGCTTAAGAAGCTACCCGGCATACAACCCTTCCTGGCTGGAGTTGTTGCCCACTGACTATTGAGCCCACTTTGAAAGCATGGGGAAACCATTGTTTGTTGGTAGTTACAGGGAAATCATTCTTTCCAGGGTTTCTTACGTGCTGCAGGATTTCGTCCATCCGCAGTAGTAAGTTGGTGATCGCCATTTGGGGGTGTTCACCCCCAAACAAGTCTAACCCCACATTTACGGGGAGCTTAGAAGTGGGTAGCCTAGGTTGCCCACAACTTACTAACTTGGCGAATCGAACACGCAAGTAGTTCAAAGTCTCAGCTGCCCCAGGACCCACATTTAAAGCTGATCACCACCAATTCATGGACCCCTCCAGTGGAGAGGTTAGAAGAAGGGTACCAACTCTTTTTCTGTATTGGATTTTAGTAGGGGATCCGAATCTCCCCCACCAAAGAGGGGAGAGAAGGGCACCAAGCCGCGGGACCTAGAAAGGCTCAACAGGTCCATTCGCTTTGGGCAGAACGAGCTGGTGGCCATTACGCATTTTTTTTCTTTTTTTGTTCGTGGGGTTGTGAAAGGTCAAAGATCCATCCATCTACCTGGAGTCTCCTTCTGACCCCTTACAAATGGTTGGTCATTGCCTCCAAAGTCATGGGGTCATGACCCCATTTTTAAAGGGCCACGGAGACTCCAGGTAGCACCCAAGCTTTTCGGGGTCTACCTCAAAGACCAAAATCATTGTAAGAAACAAGGGTGGATCTGTCCCCCTTTCATCCACCCGGAGTTTCACTGCTCGCAGAAACAACCTGACAGCTTCACCTGAAATGACTGGATTTCCCAAGTTGATCAATTGCCTGGTGATGTTCCCATTGAAACGATCGCCTTGTGGAGGTGTACTTTTATGGGGGCTTGGACCCCCGTTTTTCTTCACCGAAACCAAAGGCCAGAAGTTGCGGTTTCGAACCTCAGAGAAGTTTGAAAGATCTTTGGACCCATTTCGAACGAGGGTGTCTTATGTAAGGGGGGGACCCTGGCAGTTACATGTCCAAGGGGTCCAGGAAGGGCTTTGGCCATGCCATGTCGGAAAAGCAATGGAAACACCATTGCTGGAGGTTCCTTTTGAATTTGGAATTGAGTTTCAATTTGATCTAGTATTGCTGGAGGTTGCTTTTTACATTTGGAATTCAGTTCCATTTGATTTAGTATTACTGGAGCTTCGTGTTGAAATTTGGAATTGAGTTTCCAGTTTATTTAGTATTGCTGGAGCTTCCTTTTGATTTTTCGGGGGCCAGGCAACAAGACTTTTTTTTCCGAAAACCCCTGCAATACAGTCGAACTGGGGGCCTGGAGTAGTACCTTTATGGGGTTGATTGTGGGCAGGTGTTAAACAAAATACGTGTAAGAAAACATGCGTTTGGGAAAGCTGACCATATTGAATTCGAGCAGCAGGCCTAAATTGAACAAAGCTGGCTGTCTAATTTACTTAACTGGCCAAGAGGCAATTTCACTGGGCAGGGAGTATTTTTCGGGGGGGCTAGGCAACAAGACTTTATTCCAGGGGCCCCTGGAATACTGTCAAATTGGGGACCTGAAGTACTAACCCCTTTGCGGGTTTGATCGCGGACTGCTTTTAAACAAGAGACACGTAAGAGAACATGGATTTGGGAAAGCTGGGCATTTAGGACTTTGGGGAGCTAAAGAACAAGATTATAAACATCCAAGGGCAAGGTGTTGGCTTGGCTATCTCTCCTCTCCTTTCTCTCCTTTCTCTTTTTTGTTGTTGTGTGACTTTAAAAAAAAGGGCGCGGGTGGTGGGTACTTGTCTTTATCTTTATTCCGCGTGCATTTACTAATCCTAGGTGGACATTAGCAAGTTGTTGGTGGGAACCTACGTAGTTGTAACCCGCGTATAGGTTCCCCTAAGTGGGGTTAACCTTGATGTTGGTGGGTTTTCACCCAGGGTGGCCCAACACTTACTAACTTGGAGCAGTGGGTATGTCTGAACAGAGGGACTTGGATCTCAACAAAAATGGGCGTGTCTTTTACGGTCTTTTATAGGGGACCCCCAAAATGGTGGGTTCCTTTTGGTTTGCCTTTAAAGCCACAAACAAAATGGTAATTACCCTCAAAAAAGGAAAGACGCCCAAATGTGGCTTTCCTTGTGATTCTCACAGGTCACCTAAGTGGATGCGCCAGTTGCCACCCAATGCTCCAAACCCAAAAGTGACCAAAGTCCGAGTTCTGGAACTCAGGAAGTGAGTACCTGTTGACCTAGGCTGGGTATCTCACTTCTCGGGTGGATTGGCAAAAACAAGTACCCACAGCTCTTGCAACAGCCAATGAACTCAGGAGTGAGGTAAATTGAACACATCCTAAACTTTCACCCAAACAAGAAAAATAAGAAAAATAAAAGCAATATATATATATATATGCTCACCCCCCCCCCCAATGAACTATATATATATATATCTATTCATTTCAGCAAATGGAAGAAACTCCTCGCGGCCCTTGGGATCTTCTTCCTCGCGCGCCCATTAGCACCGAGTGGCAGAGGCGGCGGGGGCGGCATGGCGGGCACGTCCGCCAGCGCCTGGGAGTTCTCCTCCGCGGTCCAGGCCAGGCTCATGGCCTGGCCAATTTCTGAAACGACGATGGGTGGATTCCATAATATCTTTGTTCCTGCACCCTCAAAATTCCCTCAAAAATGGGTTTGACCCCCAAAATCATGGTGTGATATCCCATTTTTATGGGTAGTTTGAGGGTCCAGGTTGTTCAGAGACCCTGGAAAAACCGGGAACCCTTTTTTGGGAAAGACCGAATTTTTAGTGGGGCAGCAACCGAAAAAAAAAGAAGGAAACATGATTGGTGCCACTGAACAACCCCGAGTAGGTTGATAAGGAATGATAGACAGGAGACAGGGCTGGAGAAGAGTGGATGCTCATGGGCTGGTAAGGAATGAGAGAATGATGCGGATTCCATCTCTGTCCTGGGGATTCGCTGCTTTCAGAACGTCTGCTAAAAGTTGAAAACTGTTAGTGAAGCCCTAAAAGTTGAACATTTCTAGTGGGTGACGTGGACACCCAACCACTAAACCAGGTGAGGTCGCTTTGACGTCTGTTCGCTTTGCCCGGTTTGCACCACGTGGCGGGCCCAAAAGCGAACAGACCCACAGTGGCTTCGTATTGTTTTCCCTCTGGCACCAAATCTGGAAATGTCCCATTTGCTGGATAGGGAATGAGAAATGGAATGACCCATAGCCATCCAACTGGTGGTTTCCTTTAAGGGAATTGGATTCCATCTCTGTCCTGGGCTGGCTGCTTTGAAAGCACCACTGCTAAAAAGCTGTTGGTGGATTACGTGGACACCCAACCACTAAACCAACTGAATAGCTAAAACAAAAGTGAGAGGGATGGCTGGGAGCCACAAGGCAGCAAGGGCTTTGATGGGCTCCGTCCCTCTCTCTTCCCCGTTGGCAACCTGCTCACCTGGGCTATCTAGAGAATCTAAAGGCTGATTCACTTTGGGCTGGAAGACTTGACCTCCTCCGGACATGGGATTTTTGCTTCCCCCCCTTTTGAAGTGGCTCCTTATGGATCACCTGCGATGAAGGCTTGAGTTGGACAGAAAAGAACGCCAGGCTTCGACGCTGCATGCTCTATCCAGCTAACAAGGCAACGGGACTCGACTACCTCAGGTGATTCATCCTTCTCGTCGCTGGTGCCGCCTTCGAACACAGTCGTGCTCCTGTTGCCAAAGCTCCATCACGCCTTGGCTCCGCTCTTCCTGGAATACAATTCTCCTAGAAAAGGGACCGGGAGGGATTGAAACTCATTGGTGCTTTGGAACCCTAGATCTGTTGTGCTCGCCACCCCCTCCCACCCACAACAACAAGTTATTGTAGGGGACATGGAGGTAGAAACAAAACAACACTGTGCCAGGTAGCAGTTTAAAAGGAAGGTGTTATGTGATCTAGACTTGGCCCACATTTTGGTACACCAAAAAACACTCATGCAGTTTCAGTGTCATATTTGGTCTACCCTAACAAAATAACAGAGTTGTGAGGAGACCCCAGTAGACCAAATTCAACGCGTCGTTCACTGGTTCACCCTTCACTGATCTCCAGGACCTGGTGGGGGCCCCATGGTAAAGTCTCAGCAAATGGTTCTGAATATGAACTAGGGACCCAAACTGGTGGACACCTTTTAGGAGAGCCATGTTCAACCACTTGGGGGGTTCCCTATTCAAGTTCATAGCCAAATCAACCTGGTTACATCCCCACGCCTCCAGTCGTTCGGCATCGCCCTCTCCCGGCAACTTGCCCCCCTGCGATCGAAACTCGCCGAGAGTTACACCCTGGTCGAACCTTGGCCTGGGAAAAGCAAACGGTAAAACCTCGCGGCTTTTGCCCCGCTCTTGGTCCATATTGGGTAAACCTGGGAGTTTGGCAAATGGATGCGCCTCTTTGGAGTAAACCCCAAGTAAGAGAATAAGTGGTAGAATAGAAACCTATGAAAGCACACTAACATATGGATCTGTCTTGTTGTGGGGGAATCCCTTTTTGGGGCAGTGTTCAAGGAAACCAAAAGCAAAGCCACTACTTTTGGGGGTTAAAAGAGGACACACCCGAATTTGGGAAAGAACTTCAAGGAACTTGGACACGGGCCCAATCAAGTCAATTTGGTACATGATAATAGCTCGCGAACCGGACATCAAGGAATCCTCGTGAAAAGAACCTTCATGATGGGTGAGGTTGCAACTCCCCCCGAAGCGGTGCTATGAGTTTCCCGGAGAGTGGACTCAGGGTCAGTTTTCCTCTAATCTTGACCCCGGATTAATAAACCCCTGTTTGTTAATATGGGGGTGTTCCCCTCCGAAAGTGATAAATCCCCACTAACACCGGGGACACCCCCATATTAATATGCAGGGGTTTATTAATCCAGAGAACATGAATTGGTGATTTGGATTGGTGGTTTGCTGGTCTGGGCTAGTTTTCCATTTACCCTCCGCAAGAAAGAACGGTTCAAATCCCAAAACTACCACAATTGAGGGATACCTGATAGGGATCAACTGCTCCCGTCGTGTTAACAAAACACCAGCTCTATCCAAACCAAGTACCTCAATGGCGGGAAAAACATACGTGGCTCACATGGACACGGGACAAGCTTCTTAAAAACCCCAGCAGTTTGGCTAAGTTCGTTGTCCCGCTCAAATTGACCATGTGCCACTGCACCCAGCTTCCTGTCTGCTGGACACAAAACTGCGTTGGCCAACCGAGCAAGTCGTGACCTGGATTACTGGATGCTACCTTTGTCTTGAAACCCAACTGGGGGGCGTCTTTTTCTAGGGAACCCCCAACATGGTCCAATGGTGGGTTGCTTTTGGTTGCCCTTCAAAAACCAGCTCGAAAATTGTAATTACCCCCCAAAACGAGACACACCCACCTCTTGTGCTGGCGGGTTGAGGGTTCCCGCCCCAAACACAACATTCAGGTTGTGGTTGCGCCTTTGTTTAAGGGTACCCTTTCTAGGGTTGTTTCAAAGGGACGCCAAACAGAAAACCACATATGTTTCGACCTTCCCCCAAAAAAGGCGGACACATGTTACCCAACTTTGCCGCTTTGGACTCCAACCGTCCGTTGAACAGCTTGCAGCTGCCGCAATCCATGCTCCGTGGATCCCTGAGCCGCCACAGGTAAGCAAACATGTTCCATTCACGAATGTGTCAGAACCAGGGATTTGGACTGCCAACAAAGCGATTTATCCTTTGGACAAACGATCAAGCGGGGATACGGAAATCAGCGGGGATATGGGGGGAACTCCCTTGGCGCCACTTCCCATATCAAACAGAGTCAAGGTGCATCAAACGGGGGCATCCTCCCGTATCCAACTGGTTCCCCCTCTATCCCTGCTAATCGGCTTTCTTGATCCTTGCATCCCGTTCAAACCAAGTTGCAAAGGGTACGCATTCACAATTAGGGGCTATCTAGTACCCTCATTCAGATAATCTAAAGGGCGGTCCCCTTGGTTGACATGTAATGGCGTTCTGAGCTCCCTTCGCCCTTGAACGACTGCGTCTGGCGATCGGATCTTGCCAATACGGTAACGCCTCTTTTCAGATTCACCCCCCCCTTTGGCAACGACTTTCTCGTAACCCTTATTTAGAGGTTTGGATTGTTGGTTTGGAGACTTGAATCTCCAGTTGTAGAGGATAAACGCCAAACCACCACCAAACCTCCAAACCACCAATGAGAGGGAAAATTAAATTTGAAACAACACCCGCAAAACCGGACAACCCACAACGAAACTATGCTTCATGTGCCAGGTTGCCAGGTCGTCAACCAATGCCACAATGATTTGATGTTGTACCCGCCCAAGTTCTTATAAATAGGACCCTGTCAACAAAAACGGCACACGGTCCCTTGGTTCTCGAAAGCACCAGCTCAAACAAACTAACCCACTTGCATCAAATTAGGGGGAACCCAATGGTGGATTCTCTTTCTGACTTCCTGAGTGGATTGGCCGCTGAAAGTCCGAACTTTACATTTGCCACTAACACGGTCCAAACCCAAAAAGTGACTCAAGTCCGAAACGTAACTCGGGGAGTAGGGTTCTGATTTCCCTTGCCACCTCCTTGACACACCCTTCCCAAGCGCAAACCCAGCATGGGGGCCCAGGACTCGAATCTTGATCAACACAAAGGGCCAAATAATCAGAATGGGGGGGGGGGGTACGTAAAACAAGTTCAAGCCTATTTGGCGGTGGTTGAAAATTACTTGTTTTTCCATAAACTGGAAAAAACAAATCACCCATTTGTACCCATCACCACGAAACCAAGAACCGAAAACCCCAAAAAAACGCCCAAAAACCGGAAAAATGAGGACAACCAAAAAACAAGCCCCCCCCCCCAAAAAAAAAAAAAAAACGAAACCAAAAAAAAATGAAAACCCGGCCAAGCTTGACCTTATTGGCGTGTCCCTCGACCGGCCTTCAAATCCGAGGCCAAGGGCTGGCTGGGGATGGGCTTCGGCTCCTCCATGGATTTCTTCACCAAGGAGTAGACCTCCTCGAAACGGAAACAAATCGCCCCATTCTATCCTAGGTCCTCCAGTAGAGAGGTTAGAATAAGGGTACCAACCTGTTTCTGTAGTCTATTTTACTAGGGGAACCCTCCCCCAAAAAAGGGTAAAAGGGCACTAGTGGGGGACCTAGTAGCTCTACCCTCCCCATTCATCCTTCTCTTCCAAAAACGGGAATCCCAAAAACCTGCAAAATAGAGGGTGTCTAAAGAGAACGATGGGTGAAGAGAATGGGGAATCAAACCTTAGACCCGGTGTGAGACGCAGGGAATGAGACATGGAATGAACCTGGGGATGGTTTTTTCAGAGGCATTCCCTCATTCCCATAGGTGTCCTTTTAAGGGAAACAGATGGCCCTGGTAGATGATTAAACCACCAGGTACACCAGGGCCATCTATTATTCAAGCAAACACCCAAAAAGGACACCTATGCTCATTCCCTGCCGAATTATCGCACCAGCAAGACAACTAAAACCGGGGTATGCTTCGCAAAGCTTTTGAACCAGGTCAAACAATAAAGGCCCGTAGGCCAGGCCTGGGTGGTTCTCTGGATGGATGGACGAAATCCGGCACCGCATGAAATGAAGCCATAGGGAATGAAACCAGAACGACTGTTGAGGTATTTCCGTTGGGGAATCATCCGACACCTGGGTCTTAAGTGGTGCAGGATGTTGTCCATCCACAGTAGTAATTAAGAAACCAGAACAACACCTCCCTTTCAGTCAGGGGCGGTTCAAATTCCCAAACCCTGAAAAGAAGCAGAGGTATTGGGTTTAACACACATACACGTAAACCAACAGGAAGCCAACCATATATCTACTCACCTGTTTTGTGCGCTACTCAGGGGGTGATTATGAAGAATGGTGGGCAATGTCGATCCCGGATCTACGTCGAACCCATCCTTGTAGGGGGGTGTCGGGCCCCACAAAAGTGATTCGGATTGAATACAACAAGCGAATAGATAGACACCACACACCAAACAGTCAGCGTTCTTCGATCCGGGGTGCCCCATGACCGGCTGACAGGACTTCTCTGAACTACTGGATGGACAAAAAAAACACTTTGAAACCACTCCATTGTTTGTTGGTACTCACAGGTGAATCAAATCATTCCTTTGGGTTTCTGAACGGTGGTGCGAAATGGATTTCGCAACCATTCACAGTACATCCCCACAAAAACTCCCAACGTAACGCAGGGAATTCCCTCGGCTTCCTGGCGATCGCCGCCAAGCAAAAAAAGAAAGAAAGCGGTTCGGAGATCCCAGTCACCTATATAGCAGGTCACCAGTCATTTTCATTATAGCTTGGGTTCCTTTGGTTGCCTAGCATACAGGTAAATGGAATCACTGGGCTGTGGGTTTGGTGGGAAAATACCATGCGAATTCCCCCCAAAAAAGAGCCGAGGCCAGCGCCCAAACCAAATTGCGCCCAAGATATCCAGGGAACCCACCAAACAAACCTCCATACCCGTGTACGTTTTCTGAATGGAAAGTCAGCATAGATTGACCGTCTGAAGACTGCATAGTTAAGCAATTGCCACAAGTGCACTCACTCACTCGACTCAACTCAACTCAACTCAACTTAACCTAACTTAACTTAACATAAACTCACTCAGCAAAACAAATCCTCCTTGGCCAAAACCATCCAAAGCACAAACGTCATGAAGACGGAGAGTGGCACAAGTTGTTGAGTTTTAAGACCGGCTATCCCCCGGGTTTCTAGTGCTTTGGAACAGCCCAGAACACTCCAGCACGGTAGAAACCGGTGCTACAATTGTAGCAAAGCCTATCGGAGTTTGCATCTTCATGTTACATTGGCATAAAAACGGGCAGTAGCATGTAGCTTTTGCAAAGCTTCGAGTTTCTCTCTGAAGTGATGTTCGTAGACCCTTGGACCCCTGAAGCTCCCAACCTTTGAACCTAGGATGACATATGGTTTCGGCCTTTATAGCCCAGAGTGTCCAGTGTCCAGAAGGTCAACTAAGTTGTGTGCATTGCCCAAGTTGAAGCAAACATTTCGGGCCAGTCCTTCGTTCCCGCACGACCCTTCGACCCTTGGTTGCTGTGGACCCCGCCAGAAGCTTATCACAGTGCAATAAAAGCAAAAAACAAACTGTTTCGACCACAAAGTTCAAGTCCAAAGATCCGTTATAGCCACAGAGCTTGGCGCAACAAACTTGGGATTTATCTCATTTGGGTGCCTCAATGCCAACAGATCTCCCCCAGCGAATGTGTCGAACAAAAGCATCCGGACCCCAAAACGTTGTTCATCCCGTTGGCATCCCGGGAAAGGCCAAATCAAACAAACGGGTGCCCGAAGAAGCAGGAACCCTTCAAAAAGCCCAGCCTTTTTCATGTCCCTTCCAAAACAAACCAACCCTCCATTTGCTTAAGTCCCCTGGAAAAACAAAAAAAACAGCAGTGATAGATTCCTTTTAAAACCAACAGGGGAAAACAAAAAATATTCTTAAGCACATAGCATAGAAGCAACCTAAAACCGATGAGAAAACCGGCTGTTCTCCTCCTTGCCAGTGTCTAGCACATAGTCCAAGAAGGGCTGCGTCAGCGGGCCGTCCTACCCGGCGCTTCCATTTGCCCTAGGGAGAAGCCAATGGTGAAACCTAAGGCAAAGAAAAAAATACCCTCACATCCGATCGGGCCAAATAAAAGTGCCCAGGAGCTTTGTCCCTACCGCTAACATTGTCAAAACCTAAAAACGTGGTTGACGTTGGAAGGGGAGCAAACATTGAAACTTTAGCAGTTAAGTGGTTGGATTTCAACCACTAAACCACCATAAGCAAAAATATAAAATGTGTCCCAACAACAACCATGCCATGCCTTAGGGAGTCCGAAAATCTCGGCGAAAAGGGGTCCTTCGGCATCGAACCACGTGCCCGAATGAAAATATATGCCCCCCGCCCGGAGCGAACGGATGTTTCAAGTGAACAACAACCATGAAAAGTCCACCAGTCCACCTAGATCGATGCGCCGCACGGCTCTGACCACACTGCTCATTCTGACGGCAATCATGTGTCAAATCTTACCACACTTGACCTGCCAAGTATGCACTTACCCGAAGAAATATATGAATATGTCTACGTATATACACATATATATATATATATATGAGGAGCGGACGAAACACTTTACTTGGCCCTAGTACTTTTTTGAACGTTATCGTTTTTGGGGGAGACCTTATCGTTTTACAGTGTTTTCGAACTTTGGCAGATCCGGCTCGAAAATCGCAACTTTGTAGTACAAGTCTAGTACGCGAAGTACACTTCCGCAGCTCCAGCTCGAAAATCGCAACTTTGTAACACAAGTCTAGTACGCGAAGTACACTTCCGCAGCTCCAGCTCGAAAGTCGCATCTTTGTAGTACAAGTCTAGTACGGGAAGTACACTTCCGCAACTCCAGCTCGAAAATCGCAACTTTGTAGTACAAGTCTAGTACGAGAAGAACACTTCCGCATCTCCAGCTCGAAAATCGCAACTTTGTCGTGCAAGTCTAGTACACGAAGTACACTTCCGCAGCTCTAGCTTGAAAATCGCAACTTTGTAGTACAAGTCTAGTACGCGAAGTACACTTCCGCATCTCCAGCTCGAAAATCGCAACTTTGTAGTACGCGAAAGTACACTTCCGCAGCTCCAGCTCGAAAATCGCAACTTTGTAGTACAAGTCTAGTACGCGAAGTACACTTCCGCATCTCCAGCTCGAAAATCGCAACTTTGTAGTTCAAGTCTAGTACGAGAAGTACACTTCCGCATCTCCAGCTCGAAAATCGCAACTTTGTAGTACAAGTCTAGTACGCGAAGTACACTTCCGCAGCTCCAGCTCGAAAATCGCAACTTTGTAGTACAAGTCTAGTAAGCGAAGTACACTTCCACATCTCCAGCTCGAAAATCGCAACTTTGTAGTACAAGTCTGGTAAGCGAAGTACACTTCCGCATCTCCAGCTCGAAAATCGCAACTTTGTAGTACAAGTCTAGTACGAGAAGTACACTTCCGCATCTCAAGCTCAAAAATCGCAACTTTGTAGTGCAAGTCTAGTACGCGAAGTACACTTCCGCATCTCCAGCTCGAAAATCGCAACTTTGTAGTATCAGTCTAGACCGAAGTACACTACCGCAGACTCCAGCTCGAAAATCGCAACTTTGTTAGCAGCAATCTAGTAGGGAAGTACACTTCCCACACTCCAGCTCGAAAATCGCATCCTTGATAGCAAGTCTAGTACGGCGAAGTACATTTCCGCAGCTCCAGCTCCAAAATCGCAACTTTGTAGTACACGTGTAGCACGCGAAGTACACTTTCGCAGCTCCAGCTCGAAAGGCGCAACTGTGTAGCACACGTGTAGCACGAAAAGTACACTTCCGCAGCTCCAGCTCCAAAATCGCAACTTTGTAGTACAAGTGTAGTAAACAAAATACACTTCCTCAGCTCCAGCTCGAAATCGCAACTTTTCAGTACAAGCGTAGTGAACGAAGTACATTTCCGCAGCTCCAGCTCCAAAATCGCAACTTTGTAGTACACGTGTAGCACGCGAAGTACACTTTCGCAGCTCCAGCTCGAAAGGCGCAACTGTGTAGCACACGTGTAGCACGAAAAGTACACTTCCGCAGCTCCAGCTCCAAAATCGCAACTTTGTAAGCACAAGTCCTAGACGGAAGTACACTTCCACAGCTCCCTCGAAAATCGCATCCTTGAGTACCAAGTCTAAGTACGCGAAGTAAACAACTTCCGCAGTCTCCATAGCTCGAAAATATCGCAACTTTGTAGTAGCAAGAAACCACAGTCTAGTACGCGAAGTACACTTCCCTCTCCAGCTCGAAAATCGCAACTTTGAAGTACAAGTCTAGTACACGAAGTACACTTCCGCATCTCCAGCTCGAAAATCGCATCCTTGTAGTACAAGTCTAGTACGCGAAGTACACTTCCGCAGCTCCAGCTCGAAAATCGCATCCTTGTAGTACAAGTCTAGTACACGAAGTACACTTCCGCAGCTCCAGCTCGAAAGTCGCAACTTTGTAGTGCAAGTCTAGTACGCGAAGTACACTTCCGCATCTCCAGCTCGAAATTCGCAACTCTGTCGTGCAAGTCTAGTGCGCGAAGTACACTTCCGCAGCTCCAGCTCGAAAATCGCAACTTTGTAGTACAAGTCTAGTACGGAAAGTACACTTCCGCATCTCCAGCTCGCTAATCGCAACTTCGTAGTACAAGTCTAGCATGCGAAGTACAAGTTTAGTACGCGAAGTACACTTCCGCAGCTCCAGCTCGAAAATCGCAACTTTGTAGTACAAGTCTAGTGCACGAAGTACACTTCCGCAGCTCCAGCTCGAAAATCGCAACTTTGTAGTACAAGTCTAGTACGCGAAGTACACTTCCGCAGCTCCAGCTCGAAAATCGCAACTTTGTAGTACAAGTCTAGTACGGGAAGTACACTTCCACAGCTCCAGCTCGAAAATCGCATCCTTGTAGTACAAGTCTACTACGCGAAGTACACTTCCGCATCTCCAGCTCAAAAATCGCAACTTTGTAGTACAATTAAAAGTACAAGTCTAGTACGCGAAGTACACTTCTGCAGCTCCAGCTCGAAAATCGCAACTTTGTAGTACAAGTCTAGTACGCGAAGTACACTTCCGCAGCTCCAGCTCGAAAACCACAACTTTGTAGTACAAGTCTAGTACGCGAAGTACACTTCCGCATCTCCAGCTCGAAACTCGCAACTCTGTCGTGCAAGTCTAGTACGCGAAGTACACTTCCGCATCTCCAGCTCGAAAATCGCAACTTTGTAGTGCAAGTCTAGTGCGCGAAGTACATTTAACGCATCTCCAGCTCGAAAATCGCAACTTCTCAGTACAATGTGTCGTATTTTCGAAGCACACCTGGGCAGCTCCAGCTCGAAAGTGGCGACTCGCCTTCTCGTTTTATGGTGGCCAACGCAAGGGTCCCACCCTAACTAAGTTGCAACTGCAGGGGTTATCAGTGTTAGCTAAGGGTTATCGTTTTTGGGGGAGACCTTATCGTTTTCCATGGTTTTGGCATGTGTTATGCAAAAACGTACCCCGCCTTGATAAAGTGGTCTTCGTGTGTTTTGTCCGTGGCTCATATATATACGTATATATATATATATATGTGTATGCAAGCTAACCAAACGGCACCACACACAAGCACGCGATAACTCTTTTATCCGAGCAGTGTGTTGGTGCCAGGGACTCATCTTCCCCTGTCAGATGTCAAAGGCTGGGTGGGCCCCATGGGCCACCCAACTCACAATCTCAAAAACTGAAGAACGGGTGTGCAGACTGATAGCGCCCGCCCCTGAGCCGGGGCCCGGGGCACCCAGGCCACAGGGGGGTCTGCCACCAGGGGAAGTGAGTCACCCACCGGCTCCGGTCACGGGAGCATGGGTGGGCCCACGCTAAGATCAAATGCATCTCCATTCAGGAGACGCGGGAGAAAAACGAACTCCTCGCAGAGTTCCTGCTTGGGGACCCTGTGCAAAGGGTCGAACCCAGAGAAATCTGGGTGCGTCAGCTCATCAGCCCATTGATTGAATTCTCGGGGCACGTGGTTGGCCGCCAGCGAGCAGCCATGGGTGTGGAGCAGGAAGACCAGCTCCATCAGGATCGCCGCCGTGTAGGGCTTCTTGGATCCAAGGTTGAGCATCGCCATGACGTTGCCCTGATTGTCACTGCCCACCGGGAGTCGGACCCGGTGCGTGAGGATCATGTTACAGAGGAAGAGCGTGCCCAGCATTTCCAGAGCCGCAATCCTCCGCTTGGGATCCCCATTCTTGAATGCCCAAGGGTACTCCTCCACGTGGATCTGCTCGTGGAACCAGTACACCTCCTTTTCCGGCTCCACTTTGTTGGAGCACCAACCTCCCACAAATGCCAGTCCTTCGTCCGAGGCGCTAGCATCGCTGCAACCCCACCAAGAGGACTTCGGCAAGTAAGGGGAGTACTGGACGAAGGGCGTGTTGAAGAGGAACCGCAGCATGAACGCCAGCATCCTGACCACCTTGGGGGGTTTCCCCACCGTGGTGGTGGCCATCTTTCAGGCCAAAGTGGCTGGAGCATCGACTTCGCCAGCGGGCATGCAGCAGTCGCCCATTGGATGCGACCCAGGGCCTTCTCGATGTCCTTTGAGTGCATCGCCTGCCCTTCCACCATGGTCTGCAAAACCTCCATAACCAGGATGTGTTTGTTGGCGGCCATGAGAACCTGCGGGATGTTCGGGTGGACCACGAAACCCAGCCACGTGTTAACCTCCGCCAAATGCGTCTTCTTCCAGCTAAGCGGGGTGCCCAAGGCCAGGAGTGTTGCCAGCAGCGCCACCGCCAAGTTTACTGCCCCCTCGCTTCGAAGCAGCCACAGGAAGTCATCGACAAAGACGAAGTTCCAATCCACTTGAGGGAAAAGTGCGTAGAGGACCCTGAGTAGAAGGGCTGCCAGGCGTCCCCAGTAGGATTGGGCACTGGCCATGCCATATGTGCCTACCTTGTTCACCCACCATTCTTCCCCCAGTCAGGCCACCTGGAACCGCCAGCCTTTCTGAGGACCTTCACTCTCCGGT